AGGGGAGCAAGAGGGGACACAGTAGAAGTTTATAAAACATTGCATGGCATGGAGAAAGTGGACACTATGAGACATCCAGTGAAGCTGACTGTTGGAGGAGCCAGGAGAGATGAAAGAAAGGACCTCATCACACAGTGCAGAGTTAAACTATGGAACTCCCTGCCACAGGAGGCAGTGATGGCCACCACCTTGGATGGATTTAAAAGAGGATTAGACAGATTCATGGAGGAGGAGGAGGAGGAGGAGGAGGTGGGGAGGGCTATGGATGGCTGCTAGCCAGGAAGGCTCTGCCCTGGCTTGGGAAGCAGCAATGCTTCTGAATGCCACTAGCTGGAAACCATGGAGGGGGGATGCCCTTGTGCTCAGGGCCTGCTAATAGGTTCCCCCTAATGGGCACCCGGCTGGCCACTGTGAGAACCGGAGGCTGGACCAGATGGGTCGTTGCCCTCATCCAGCAGCTAAGCTCTTCTTCTTTTCCTGGAAATACTGGTGGAAAAACCCTGTACCAAGAATCCACGAGCACAAATGTCATCTCCCTCTTTAATCTTGCCCATAAAACATGATCAAAGTTTAAAAAAATAAAAATAAAAATTGAGGTGTTTTAGATGGCCTGGTCTCGATTGCGCTGCCATGGCAACCACCATCTCCTGCATATTTTGGGTATCAAACTACAAATCGGAGCACACAGAGGCTCAGCCTGGCAAGCAAAGCATCTGAGGAGGAAGCAGCAATTAGGATGCTGCCCGTGATCAGCAAACCAACTGGAGAGGGGAGGGGAGAGGCATCCCTCGCAGCAAGACAGAGGGGCAGCCCCTTCCCCTTTGCTGGGTTTGCAGGCCCCAAGGAAGTCACCATGTTCCTTTTTTAACATATCTTTTATTAAAGATTTCTTGGTTTACAAAAGTATGTGCAATGCCTCTTGTTTTCAAGTTGCAGTTTCTACAGATCAGTGTCATTTGTTGAGACATTAGTGTTACATTAGGAAGAGAAGGGGGAAAGAGGTGGAGGGGGCATGGCGGGCGGGGGTGGGGTGGGGTGGCAATGTTTCTATTCTACTTAGTGTATGTGTGGGGTTTTGTGTCAGCATCACTTGTGCTGGTTCTCTTTACTATTCGCTTGTGTTCCTTTGGTGGTGAGAGAAGTTGGGGTTGGCCATGGGTGTGAGTGGCTGTGGTGAACTTCGTTTTCACGTGAGTGGGGTGGGTGGGTGTTTTGGATCAGGTTAGCCATATTGATTTGTATGCTGTTGGTGGATTCTTGTCATTGTCTTGTTGGGCTGTGTATGTGATAAAGGGGAGCCATACTGGGGTGAAGGCGTCTTCTTCCACTTGTCCCCGTGTCAGTTTCGGTTTACTGGTTAGTTTTTTCTAATAAGGCTGTTTCCCATACTGTTTGGTACCACTGGTCCATGCTTACTCCTGACAGGTCTCTCCAGTGTCTGCTTTGATGTGTCTGGCTGCTGAGAGTAGGTGGGTTATTTACTCCTTGTGATGTGAGTGGGCATTATTGTCTTGGAAGATGTTTAGTAGGACCAGTTCTGGGGTGACTTCTAATATTTGCTTAGTTATTTTGAATATTTCTCATATGCTTGTTGTCCAGAATAGTTGGATTTTGGGGCATTCCCACCACATGTGGAGGCATGTGCCTATGGAGATGCATCCTCTCCATCATTTTGGTGAAGTTCCTGGGCGTATTAGCGCTAGTCTCTTTGGTGTTAGGTACCACTCCATGTTCATTTTTAAGATGCTACAAGCTGCCCTTGGCTAGATGGGCTGGCTCAGTTTTCAAGCATCGTGGGCACGCTTTGGTTGGTATCTGTCTCAGGAGACAGTGGAGGAGGGTGCCTTTGGGGGTGAGGTGAAGCTGTTGGACTGTGGCTGCAGAGACAGACGCGGGAGAGACAGGCTTCATTGCAGCTGAGGCAGGTGAAGGTGTCCGGTTGTGCTGCTGCAGATGTACCACGATGACATGGTCCCCTGTACTATTTGCATAAAAAGAAGAAATGAACACACATACACCATGATTCCAAGGACAACTGAAGCACCCGTGACAGATGGCCACCCAACCTCTGCTTAGGAATCTCCAACAAAGGAGAGTCTGCAACCTTCCAGGGGAGTCCGGTCCACTGTTGAACAGCTCTCACCCTCAGAAAGTTCTTCCTTATGTTTAGTCAGAATCTCCTTTCTTGTCATTAGACCCCATTGGTTTGGGTCCTCTGCTCCAGAGAAGGAGAAAACCAGCTTGGCTTCCAGACCCCTGAGCCTCTTGGTTGCCCTCCAGCTTGTCATCATCCTTCTTGAACTGGGGTGTCCAGAACTGGACATGACTCCAGGTGGGGTCTGACCAAGGCAGAAGGGAGCAGAACGGAAAGCGAATAAGAATTACGAAAGCAGTGAGCAGTAAGACGTGCTTATTAAACTGTAAGCCCTTTTACATGTTGTCCAACCTCTCAAAAAGCCACCTGCCTTGAGCTTTTGAGAATGTGTAAACATAGTTCAATATCGTCAGCTGATCAATCAAGTAAAAGGAGCTTCATTAATCAACGGGGTATTGTTGTTTTTAAGGATTTGGCAGCCTTCCAGAGTTTCTCACTGGCCAAGTGCCCCTCTTTCATGAAATCATAGAATTGTAGAGATGAAAGGGACCCCAGGGGTCATATAGTCCAACCCACTGCAGTGCAACCCTCTTTCCACAATCCCCGAGCCAAACTCCCCTCATCCTTCAGAGGTGCACTCACACACACACAAACACACACACCCCTCCTCCATCTCCAGCCCTCAGAGACCAGCCCTTTCCGGCTCCAGAGCATGGCAGGGAGCCTCTGTGTTTACTACAAGGCGTCAGCTGCCCCCGCCGCTGTTCTGGCATCTGCACGCGCTCAGGGGCTGCAGCTCCAGTCTGACTTCAGATCCAATTAGTTCACTGGGGTTGAATTTTAATCAGAGGAGTCAAACTTTCCCTTCCATTCATTCAGTTCCTATGAAGCCAAGGAGGACCTGGGCTAATGAAAGCTGAATCCGCTCAGGAACTCAGTGGGAATTGCCTTCCGAGGGTAAATTCCAATTCAATTATTCTGCAAAGGAAACAAACACTCAGGTTTGATTTGCAAATATGAAAAGCTCAGTTAATTCCAGCTCTGGTGGGGAGGGGAAAGGAGGTGAACCAGGATGTGTATTATTTAAGAGGAACAAGCAGCTCCCTCTCATTTGCCTTCTCTCTGAAACGAAGAGGAGAGCGAGAAGGACACACCTCTGGCCCTTTGGGAAATGAGGAAAGAAAAGTATGTTGAGAGTCCTGGGCACCACAGCCGGAGAAGGATGTTGACAGACAAGCTGGGAAGCGTGCAGAAGAGGGCCACCAAGATGGTCCAGGGGCTGAGTCTGGAAAGCAAGCCTTGTGAGGAACGGTTGAGGGAGCTGGGTATGTTTAGCCTGGATAAGAGGAGATATGATGGCCATCTTCAAATATAACATGGCTTGTTTTCTCCTGCTCCAGGGGGGTGGCAGATTCAAACTGCATGAAAGCAGCTTCCAAATAAACATTAGAAAGAGCTTTCTGGGGGCAAGAGCCAGGTGGTACCTGGTGCGGAAAATTTCTTGTCAACCGCCCCCCATTGAAATTGTTAAAAGAAGGAAAAATAAGATACTAAAGTTGCAAGTGTTATTTTCTGGTTTATTTACTTAACATTGTAAACATAAGCACTTAAAACCTTTTTTTTCACGATGGGAATTTCTTATGAATGGGGGTTTTTTTACTTAATTTTGCTATTTTGCAGCCTACTGTTGATGTGGACTGAAGGAAGCTGAGGTGCTGTGTGAGTACAACTGCAAAAAACAAGCACCAGCGTGGATATGTCCCCACTCTAGAATACAAGAAGAGCCAGTGGCAGAAGAAGGGGGGTGCAGGGGGTGCAGGCTGCCCTGAGTGTCATCACTGCTGCGTGCCCAAGCCTCTCCTGGGAGTGACGTGGTGGCTTGGGCACCTGCAGACTCCACACTTCCTGAACTGGCAGTGTGGGGCTTGCGTCTGCCCTCCGCCTCTCCCTCAGCCGCCCTACAGCTGGGGTCTCTGGGGTGGGCGGGGTTGCGGGGGTGGGTGGGGAGCAGAACTCCAGGGGGAGCTCCAGGTGGGCAAGAGCAGGCAGGAGGGAGAAGGGGGCGAGGGAGACTTGGAGGTGGCAGTGTCTAATCCTTTCCCTTTCTCTCTCCAGCCTCATGAGACCCCATTTCAGCTGTGATATGGTCAGTCGTATCCTGCATAGGACAATGGAGGCTGTTCTTGGGAGCGCAGAAAAGGAGGAGGACAAAGAAGTATGTCCTCTGCTTTGCACAGTAATGTGCATTAAATGTGCTCTGGGTGTGTTTTAAATATATGGTGTGGATCTGACACAAAAGTTGCAGGGCAGCACAATATGAGACTGTAGTGCATGTTTTCTGCTAGTGGTGTCCTAACTTTTTTTCAAAGAGGGCCAGATTTGATGAAGTGAAGGGCCGTGAAGGCCAACCAAAGGGCCAACCACAGTTGTTGACCTTTTCTCTGGATTGAGGTTGTTGAGCTTTTTTTAGAGGTGATGTTGTGGTTTTTTTAAAAGGATTTTAGGAAATAAACTGCCACATGAAAAAAGCCATGTCTGTCTGCTGATTCCGAATCAGATAGTAATAAATCACAGTAACATGTCAGAGGGGTTCTGTGACCTTGCAAACATGGGTTGTGACACCATATTCACTTATCTGTGTGCCGTATGTTATGAGATATGAGGTCATAAAAGTGGCACAGTATTTGTAGTTCCAGTTTACTCTGCCAAAGATGATCCCTTCAACAGGGATTTTCACAGAAACCCAATGTACAACGTATTTGCTGCAACTGGCTGTTTGACTACAAGCCATACTGGTCTGAAAAGGATTCCCAGCACAACTGTAAATAAATCATAGAATTGTAGAGTTGGAAAGGGAGCTTGAGGATCATTTAGTCCAACCCCCTGCAATGCAGGAATATACAGCTGTCCCACACAGGGATTGAACCTGCAACCTTGGCGTTATCAGCACCAGGCTCTAACCAGCTGAAATGAGTGCTAATAACTTCCCTTCTTTCTAGAAAGGAGAATTAGAGAGAGGTGATTCTCGAACAAAGACGAGCTGAGGGAATGTCTCACACTGGAATAGGACTAAGAGTGACTCCACACAGTCTTGATTTGGCCTCAGGCAGAGGCGGAGCTAGGTGCTCCAGCACCCAGAATGGCGTGCACCCAGGGGCAGGGCGAGTGGCCTGCGGGGGCGGGGTGAGCATCCCAGGGGGGTGCCGCATGCAGCAACTGGCCCTGGGGGCAACGTGGCAATGGCCTCAGAATGGCACCTGGGGCAGACTGCCCCCCCGCCCCCTTGCTCCGCCTCTGGCAAGAGCTCCTAAGAGGTGTACCCTTCTTAAGCAAAGGTTGAGTGGTCATCTGTCAGGGATGCTGTAGCTGTGATTCCTGTATTGCAAGGGGTTGGACTAGATGTCCCTCGGTGTCCCTCCCAATTCTATGACTCTGTGACTGATGCACATGCACCCCTTCTCACAGCAGTGTTAAGGTCAAGGAGGCGGGGAACTGCTCTTGTTGCCCAGTGAATCCCGGCCAAGCTGCCCACTCCTCCCTCCCTCCCTCGCTCCCTCTCTCTTGCTTATGCCAAGATGGGGGTCTCCTTGGCACCATGTCTGAGTCTCCATCGCTTTGTGTCCTGGATGCTTTTCAGCCGAGTCGGACTAAGAAGGAAGCGCCGTTGTCTCTCCCACCTCTCTCCGGATCTGCTTTTCCCTTTGCTTCATCTCTGCCACCCGCACCTCCTCATGGTTAACTGGAATTTGGTAATCCTCCAAACGTTAATCGAGAACAAAAGGAAGTGAGCCACATCCTGTGCGGTTGAGAGAAGGACGACCCGACCTCACTTGGAGAGTGACATTTCTGGATTTGAAAATGATTTGGAAGTTGCGGTGGGATCAGCGCTGCTAATTGTCTTCATCTCCTCGCCCTTTATCTCTTTTGATGTAACCACATCTTAAAAACACTCTGGCCGCACTCAGCTAAGCCCCAGAGAAGCCGAAGGGGCTTTCTGTGCATCAGAGAATGGGAGGGAGCTCCTTTTGCCCAAGGTTGGGGGCGGGAAGGCAGCCCCTCTCCCCCCCTGCAGAAACTAAGCTCTAATTTCAAAGGAATGCTCAGCCAAATCGGCGCTGAGTGTTGAAAGCGCTAGAACATCCTATCCAGAGTGAGACCCGCCACGTGTGAAAAAAGGCAGAGTCCGCTGAGCTGTTTGGGAGGGGGTGTTAGTGCCATTTTAAATCCCATTTTCTGGGGAGCTGAAGCTTCCTTACAAGGAATCTCTTTGCCTTCCTCTTGGGCATGGTTGGCCAATTGGTGCGAAGGGAAGATAGGAATTTCTTTATGTATGCGACAGCAGCGGCAAGAATACTCATTGGGAAATACTGGAAGACACAAGAATTGCCTACCCGAGAAGAATGGCAGAGAAAAGTGATAGACTATATGGAACTGGCTGAGATGACCGGCAGAATACGAGACCAAGAAGAAGGGTTGATGGAAGAAGATTGGAAAAAATTAAAACATATCTTCAGAAATACTGTAATATAAAAGAATGTTAGAAAAGGTTGGAGAAGAATATTAGACCGTATTGGCAGATAGAGTATAATGGAATAAGTAAATATGTAGTGTAAAATAAAAAATAGAGGAGAATTAAATATTTTTGAATGTTAAATTAAGTAAATGAAAAGAAGGTTAGAAGGGTTTGCTGGAGATACGACTAAACTAGAATACAAAGCAGAGAAGTGAGAGGAAGTCTCGGAAATAAGTAAATGGGAAAATGATTTTAATGGTTTAATTTGATTTTTTGTTATTTTTGTATTGTGATTTTTTGTCTTTTGTATTTTTTTTGTACCGTGTGTTGTTCTTTTTTTGTAGGGTGTATGTTATTTGTTTTTCTTTGTTTTTGCTTTTTTCTTTCTATGTAATCATAAAATTGGAATAAATATTCTTTAAAAAAAAAAAAAAACAAGGAATCTCTTTGGCCACAGTAAGGATGAGAAGGGAGCAAACGGGAGGCAAGGGGGCAAAAGGGGGGCACAAAAAGGTCTCTATTGGGCAGCAGAGTTGGGGGGAGGAAAAGCGGCTTAAAAATGATTCAGGAAGGGCTTGTCCACACTTCTGCTTGTCCCACACGGGGCCACACCTAGAACGCACGACGGGTCTGAGCGGTTTTCCCCCTGCTGCGCTCCTTTCCCTGGAAATCAGAGCAAACATCAATCTGGAGCAAAGCTGAATTGCCCTTTGCTCTGACTGAGGACTTCTCCACACTTTGCTTTTGCTCCTTCCAGGCACAAGTCCATGCTCAAAAGCTCCATGTCTGAGCAATTCTTGTTTTACTTTATGTCCTGAACTTTCCCAGCGAACCCGCTCTTAGCATTCAATCCGAGTAAATGTCCATTCGGTTTTCCCACTGCCTGACCTTTGCTCCAATGGAGCTTTAGTAAGCAGGTTTTAAATAAAAAGGCAGGGGTGTGCTCAGTGTGGGAAGTAATCCACTGGAAGCAGTCAAGTACAACATTCCTTGTTTTGCTAGAGTGGACATGCAAGGGAATGTTTGGTCCAGCCAGTCAAAACTTCCTGTTCCTCCTGGCGTGGAGCATCCTTCCTCTTGCATGTGACTAGTGGGTGGGCATGACCTTTCCAGACCTGGTAAAAGGCCAAGTCACGCAGCCACCTCCTTCCTCTTTGATCTTCTTTTTCATCCTGCGAACTTCCTGATTGACCTGGACTGTACTGCTGGCTGCCAGCCACGCAGTCCCCCAGGTTATCTCCCATATGAGGTAATAATAATAGTAATAATAATAATAATTAATAATAATTTATTATCTATACCCTGCCGATCTGGCTGGGTTTCCCCAGCCAATCTGGGCAGCTTTCAACAAAATATTAAAATACAATAGTCCACCAAACACTAAAAGCTTCCCTAAACAGGGCTGCCTTCAGATGTCTTCTAAAAGTCTGGTAGTTGTTGTTTTCTTTGACATCTGGTGGGAGGGCGTTCCACAGGGTGGGTGCCACTACTGAAAAGGCCTTCTGCCTAGTTCCCTGCAACTTGGCTTCTCGCAGTGAGGGAACTGCCAGAAGGCCCTTGGAGCTGGACCTCAGTGTCCGGGCAGAACGATGGGGGTGGAGACGCTCCTTCAGGTATACTGGACCAAGGTTGTTTAGGGCTTTCAAGGTCAGCACCAACACTTTGAATTGTGCCTGGAAATGTACTGGTTTCCCCAGCCACTATGGGCGGCTTCCAATAAAACACTAAAATACAATAACCTATTAAACATTAAAAGCTTCCCTAAACAGGGCTGTTTGTACCTGTTTGTACATGTTTGTAACTTTAAGCCTAAAGCCTTAAGCCTGCCTTCAGGGATCACACTGCGCTCTGCCTGATTGTGAGTAAAACTACTTTTTGTTACATGTGAATAAGACTGTGGTGTCTTTATTATTTTAGGAGGGATCAAAGGGGTCTTACCAGGAATAATAGAACATATCTCAATCTGGACAAGCCAGACTGAATTGCTTATTGTCTTAAGAGGCTCACATGAGTTTGCAACCAGTTTTCTGCTGCGTAAGAAGGGAAATACACTCTGCTAAGTGAAGGAACTTGCTAGCGCAAGTTAGGAAGGATATTAATAATCAATATACCCTCTCCTGCCACCCTAAACATTCCTACACTCAGACATGGTGTGCGTCATGCCTGGAAAGAGCAGAGGAAAGGGGAGCGTGGAGAAGCCCGGAGTGCTAAGGAGCCGTTTTCCTGGGGGACAAGAGTCCTCAACTGATAACTGATGGCAGCTATCTCAGAGTCTGCATTGCCAATTCAAGTTTGTTAAACACATTCTCATTCAAAGTCACCCAGGAGGGAGAGTGCGCCCACGGGGGTGGGCAGGGGTTCTTCCTCCTCACCCTGTCTTTATCCTGGCAAATTCCCACTTGTGCAGGGAGGCCAGCTTCTGTCAGGTGGCTTAGTGAGCAGGCAGCCTCCTCCCCTCTCTCCCTCCCTCGGTGAGCTGGATGTACTTTGGCTGACGAAAAGGTCCCACTCGCCTTTCTCCCAGCATCATCCCAAAAGCTGGAGTTTTGTCAGAGGAGAATGGAGGGCGCATTGATCCTGCTAATCCCGGCCTCTTTGTTTCCTCCCTGGGGTATTTCTTTTTTGAAGCTGAGAAGTGCTTGGCGTTTTCCACAAATGCAAATAGGATTTGGGAAGCCAAAAATTCTGAGGGAGTGGAGGGGATAATCAAAAGAGCTTCAGATATTTGGCACACTGAATGGAACCCTGTTCCAGCCCCATCAACACTGGGAGTCATTATTACCTATTTAGAGTTATTTCTATAGAATAATCCCATTACCCTTAAGAACAAGCAAACCAAAAGACTGTGAAGTGGGACACAGCAACTGTCGTCACAGAGGAAGAGTCAGATGGTCCATTTGTGCTGCCTTGATGGATCGGCTCATAAAAACCACGGCTGAAGAGGTCACCTGTCTGAAACATTATGTGGCCCAGGGCCCCGCAGTTCCCTTAGATCACGGGTGTCAAACACAAGGCCCGCGGGCCGAATCCGGCCCGCCAGACCTCGTCATGTGGCCCGTGTAGCCGGCGGTGGCCACCAGCCTTCACCTTTTATTCTCGCTTCTTTTTTTTTGACACAAGAAAGCCGCCTCTTCAGCGCATGCGCGGCAGCCTACAAGCCAGAGAACGTCTGCCCTCTAGCGGCGCCGGCCATTCTACACAGGAAACCTCCACTTTACATGCATTCAGGAAACCTCCACTTTACATGCATTCAGGAAACCTCCACTTGTTTTTATATTGGGCGCATGCCATCCTGTGATGTGACAGATCCAACGGCTGCCTGAACCCTTCTCTCCTGTACTGTAAGTCCTACAGATACAACCGGCCCTTTGAGGGTGACCAAACTGCTGATGCGGCCCCCAATGAATTTGAGTTAGACACCCCTGCCTTAGATAATAAACACACAGACACAAATATTTTGGGTT